GAGAGAAAACTAATATATATATATATATATAGGCAGTACTTGTATGTATATGTTTACGTTTTTATTGGTTCGACAGGTTATATGTGCAGCTGTATAAATTTCCAGCTCTCGCTCAGGACCGCGTTTACTTTATCCAATGAATTGCAGGTAAAGTTAAACACGAGCACCTAACTGTCAACTCTTAATCTATCTTGTTTGATCGAATAATGAGGCTTGATCATTACTCTAACAGCTCACCCACAATATTAAAGTGTGGAGCCGAATAATGAGGTTTGATCGTTAATCTAACAGCTCACCCACAATATTAAATGTGTGGAGCCGAATAATGAGGTTTGATCATTACTCTAACAATTCACCCACAATATTAAAGTGTGGAGCCGAATAATGAGGCTTGATCATTACTCTAACAATTCACCCACAATATTAAAGTGTGGAGCCGATTAATGAGGTTTGATCGTAACTCTAACAGCTCACCCACAATATCGAAGTGTGGAGCCGAATAATGAGGTTTGATCGTAACTCTAACAGCTCACCCACAATATCGAAGTGTGGAGCGCGATTTTCGGAAAGAGGCCGCAAACCACAAACCCTCGGAAAAACAGTGCAATCACGCTAATCACTAGGCAATGCTTGTCCCCAAACCGTATTATATTGTTAAAATTATTAAAACGACCGTATTGTTGAAATTATTGAGACGATCGTATTATATTATACATATTTGAAGTAATAAATTACATAATTTGGCGACCTCATTAGTACATAAAAAGCTAGCATCTTTTTTAATTAACTGATAAGTGACTTCCAAGAAAACAAAACTTTGAAAATAATTTTACACTATAACTTAGAAGTATAACGATTCTTAAATATAAAACTTGTTTTCTTGTGCCTTGCAGTGATATTTAGAGCATACAGTTTTATTCAAACAAACATATGAATCTTGTAAATAATTATATCAAAGGCTCCGCTCTACCCAGCTCTGTAGGGCGCTTGGATCGCAATCTGAGGGTCGCGGGTTCGAGTCCCCGTCCCACCAAACATGCTCGCCCTTTCAGCCGTAGGGGCGTTATAATGTGACGGCCAATCCCACTATTCGTTGGTAAAAGAGTAGCCCAAGAGTTGGCGGTGGGTGGTGATGACTAGCTGCCTTCCCTCTAGTCTATCACTGCTAAATTAGGGACAGCTAGCGCAAATAGCCCTCGTGTAGCTTTGAGCGAAATTAAAAAACAAACAAACATACACAGTCCTGACGAGATAATTATGCAAAAATACAACATTTTCATTATGGATACAAACACCAACAAATAAATTATCGCGCCAGCAAAACAACGTAAAATTATATCATTAATAGGGAAATATCATTTATTTATAGCTATTAGTTTGAGAAGCTGGATAATTTATACACCACACTGAGCTCTACAAAGCACCGGTAGATGGCGCATTTTTTACCCAAGTCACAGGCAAAGCTGAACAGTAGGCTATTTGTGCTGTGCCACTGGTGGAGGGCACAGGCAAGGGTAAGACGGCATGATTACGATTTATAGTTCAAGTTTTTTATGAAAATAAAAATGTAATAACGTTTGTTCTATGGTTGCAAACAGGACCGTACAACAGTAGCGACACATTGTGTCGAAATTCGTAAAAAATCTGAATGAAGTTACATTCTGTTGTTGTAAACAAAAAAAAACCTACGATAGCATTTTCTCCAATACTGTTTATCAAAGGCTTAACAATAAGAAAAATAAATAAATGTTTTACGTACACGATGTTCGTTCTTCATTCATTTGATCATCTTTTTCAAAATACTTTTTGGACTTAAGGGAACCAAAAAATTTCGCCGATTTTGACTTCATCAGGACTCTACGACAGTCCTCTTCGGACTTTGATATGTATTCCAGGAAGGAAGTCTGTTTCAACGTGGTGGAATCTAACGGGTATCTCTTGTCCAAACCTGGATGAATGAGGTCATCATAACTGATACTCAACTTTCGTAAGGTTTGTTCAGCTTGTTTCCTAACTGATTCGAGGCTGTTTTCTATCTCTTGTAAAGTTGTCTTGAGCTCTTTCAATTGATTCTCTACATATGATTTGTCTTCAGGAGCTTCTTGTGTAACTGTTCGAGGATTTGGTTTGTTTGGATTTCCACCAAGTTGTTTCGAAAGAGCGTCGATCTGGAACCAGATCAACATAAGGATTTCTTTAAAAATCGACGCATGATAAATTATATAAATAATATAATATAAATAATAGAATAGAATATAAATAATATAAACTTACTGAGCAATCGATTCATAATTATAAATATAGAAATCAAAGTGAAAATTCGGTTAATAATAACCGGATATACAATAATGAAAACAATGTTGTGTAGTATTCACTAAACGTCGATGCACTAAGCCTAATACTTGTGATAAACATCACGCTATGCTACAGTTGTTCCTTTCGTATTCCTTCTACGTAGTCCATTATGGATTTCAAATCAGAGGTGTGTCAAAATAACAATTCAGATCCATCTTTTGTCTGACAAGTCTTTGCCCTAGATGCTTTCATTTCGATATCGACAGCTGGACTGGATCATTACAAACTGTGTAAAACTTCTATATGCTATAAAAAGTAATGTTACAACCTAAAGGATATGCTGTAAAAAAGTAATGTTACAATATCCTTTAGGTGCTGTAAAAAAGTAATGTTACA